GTATTCAGATGTCAGGGACACATGCTTTTGATCTCTGTTTTCGTACAGCATGTGTCTCTCATCTACTAATAAAAATTAACCTTGCCTAGAAGATTTTTTTGGTCTCTTGCATTACATACTCCTGCTTGGGGAATTATACATCACGTACAGTGACTAAAATAATACAATACATTCCATTATGAATGCCCAAAATACTTTGTTTTATCTTCAAGCCATGATCATAAGAGCTCCCATGTACTAAGAAAGTCTGTTAATCTTCGGTTCATGCCCTTTTGACTTAAACTAAGGTTATGTCAGAAAAACTTCAAAGGATATCAGGCCCTGGTATGACTCTGAATAAACATTGTTCTTTGCTTACACTTTGGAAAAGCTGAACAATTTTCTTTTACAAACACAGCTAATGAACATTGTACATTTTAGTCAGTTATATCTGAATTAAAGACTCTGTGGAGGAAGGGTGGATGACACAGCCAACATTCACCCTAATCCATACGCTTAAAATTAAACTACCCTTAAACCTACCACTACCCATAACCCTAACCCTAACCCCTATTCCTAACCATAACCCTAGCCCTAGCCCTAACCCTACTCCTACCCCTAACCCTATCCCTACCACTACCTCTAACCCTACCTCTACCCCTACCCCTGTTCTCCACCTCCCTTTCCCTACTCCCAGCTCTTCCCATGTGCCCCAGACCACCTCATGTATAATCGTGGAGGTGAAAAGGTTTAATTTTTTAAAAAACTTAATATTTTAACTTTCAAAACAAAAAGGTGTAGCCAAACACCTCCTCTGTCATTGATTACTAATTGTAAAAAAAAAAACTGATATCAGCTGAAAAACATAAACCCAGCACTTAGAACAATAAATGTATGCCTCCCCTCCTCCAAAAAAATAATACTTTAACATAGCATTGCTTTTGACATCAGTGCCAGGGATTGGGGAGTGAATTTTCAACTTGTCCAGTCCTGTGTGTGTTTCAACTTGCCATGTAATGATGCTCTATGTGATATAATTGTAAATAGCAAAAGTTCTTCTTGCCCTCTCATTACTGGGATTCTGAACATTTTTGTATGTTCTTGCACATCTTTACATTTTTCAAATATAACATCACACGTTATTTTTTTGTTCAGAGATAGTACGTAAGGATGGATTCATAATTGGAATATTTCATGACAGAATTTGTTAAACTAGGTCTCAACTCTCTATTGTATCATGCAAACCCAACTTGAAAGAAATCACATTTGGTTTTCTTCAATGTGAAGAGAAATTGAAAAAAAAAAAAAAACCACATTGTTGTTGATGAGAGCATTTTAATTATATTTAGAAAAATCAGTGTCACTCTACTGCTTCACTTATTCCAAATTCAAAATGTTTAATGTGAGCTCAGCTTCCCTCCTGTTAAAAATTTGTACAAGATGGAGGAAGACAGCAAGACCCAGAGGAGCAGGAAGCTTCCCCCTCCCAATCAACCTTACAATTATAACTTTCTAGGTGCCCTGAAAGTTACGTAACCCAGTTAATCATGCTATAATAAGATTTGGTATGGGTGAAGGGTATGGTTTCCTTTTGAAACGAAGAAGAAAGGTGATTGTGAACACAGTTGAACACAGATTTTGAACATTTTCAGGCAGTTTTAGAAAAGAAGATGTGTCTGGAAATTAATGAGGGCATTATGCCACTTGCCAATTCTGTCTTTTCCAACTGCACATTCAAAAGTGGAAAATGAACTCCAGATAAATTTATGGATCCACTGGGTACACCAGGCAACAGAGTCTGGCCAGAAACCTATTTATCACCCAACCCTCCTATGTCCCCACCTTGATTCGTAGACTTCAGGGTGACTTGCTCAGGATTAATGCCAGCTCAGCACCGGGACCCAGAAATCCCAAATAGCCCTGCTTCCCTTTCTGAAAGGCACAGTTACCCTAGCTAATGGTTCCAAGTCCTTTTGAGGAGGACAAGAGGAGGACTGACTACCCATTCTTGACAGCAAGCAGGTGTTTCCTCAATAGAACCCTCCATCATCTCATCCTGCAGAGGGTATCTCCAGAGCTCTCCAAACACAGTGGTGTTCCCCGCCCCCAAGGTCATGCTCCATGCCCCTGTGGAAAGACTGTCCCGTGAGCCCTCCCAGGACACACAATGAGGAGGTGGGTGAGTCAGTCACACATCATAAATCTACTCCAACATTCCTTTCTCCCTAAACCTTTTCATCTATGCTTCTGCATCATTGCAAGGAAATGTCACATCTCAGCCTCCTTTGATGTAAACGAACGTTGAGTCTGGGTTTTAGTCAATGAGGTGAGCAAATTATGAGAGCTCAAGCGAGCATGTGGAATCCAGAATTTCTTGTAAGTACACCCACATTGATACATTTGCCTATTCCAAAGTTCTTTTCCTTCCACCATGGGCAAATGCACTTATATTCTATTTTTGCTTATGTATCTTGATTTCTGCTAGCATAAGTTCACCACATTTTGCAGTTCTTTTAGTGTGCAAGGTGACTCTGCTGAGGTTATACTTGGCACTCATTTCCCTTGGTTAGATTGGACCTGACTCTAGTGTGGGTCTGGAGACCATGAGGGAGGGTGAGGGTGGATCTTTTCCAAATAAGCATCTTATACAATGGAAGGTCATCATAGTCTCCTCAACCTGGGAGAAGCTAGCTTCCTCCGAAAGGGGACAGGGAGAAGCATCTGCTAGTGAGAACCGTTTAAAGGAATTTCAAGGAAAGTCAAGATAACTCGGATTCATTTGAATTCACCCCAAATTTCTTCATTCCAATTTTCAAGGAATCGTTCTTTTTCTATCAGTGGTTTAATATTCACATAAGAAATTCGATGCAAATGAGAATCATAACTTGGGTTTAAAGAGATGCTTTTATGATAATCATAGAATTCCCTTTCCCGGCGCTCTTAACTGAACTCGGAGGTGTTTATTTTCATTCTACCACTTCTCCAGTGTGATCGAAGATGGCTAGCACACTTCACAGGACTGATGGCAACATTTCCATCACAACAGTCTTTAGAAGCAGCCACTTTGTTCCCCAAACTCTTCTCTTTGGCAGGCACATTATTCCAGGTAACATTTGGGACTTAAGACTTTTTTTAAAAAAACAGTCCCCACTGTGGATACTGTGGTAGCGTTTGGTGGATAATAAAAGTAATTTAAGTAAATGGAAGTGTTCAATCCATCATCTTTACCCAGTATCTCAGTATATTGAGTTTTGAAGGAAAATGTTTTTGCTTAGACACTCTGCTTCAAATCAGGGTTTTGCCACCAATCAGTAAGCATTCAGCTTCGGAGAGGCTCAATGTCAAGTCTTTGACTAAGTGTGACTATCAGAGAAATCCCAAGTTCCTTATATACCGATAGTAATGCGTTAATTAAAAATACGCTGCCATTTCTAAAGCCAAGTCACAATTACATAGCAGAAAAGGGGAGTTTAAGCCAATACAACTTGTGTCTTTATTATCATCCTCAGGGATCATCCAAGACTTCCTTGCAATGTTCTCTGAGCTCTGAGCTTTCTGACCTCATATGCTTTGATTTACTCCACCAAGTTCTTCTTTCTTTTTCTGGCTGATTTAAAGCTTCAAAAGATTATAAACAGTGCATTTTTACTAGAAAGGAGACATTAATTTGCATCCTTGGATTTCTAATTATCTCCAGAGTCATTCTCCACTCGTATTTGGCAAGGGTTGTAAGAAGGGTTGATTTTCTGCTTCCAGTTGCTTTCTCCTATACTCCATTTCTGTTTTCTTTCTACTCCCCAGTGAGAAAAAAAGTTGCTGTGTTTCTAGTAGGAAAGTAGAGAAATATATAATTGTGTCTGGAGACTTGATTTCCTCGTGGTGATCTACTGCAATCAGTGGACAATTCTCTCGGGAAACATGTTTGCTAAGGAAGCCATTTTGTGTAACTCTAGGCTCTCATCAATGCCACTTTTGCATAGACTTCTGAAAAAAAAAAGTATTCTCTATTATCTCCAAGTAGTTTTATTCTATCAACCAGGTTTCCGGCCAAACGTCAAAGCTAATTGTCTCACTTAAATATTTTTAAAGGAATTAAAAATAAAAGATCTCATAAACAAGGTTATAGAATTGCTTTATTAAAATGGAAAATATGCAAAACATTGAGATAGGATTGTACTAAGAAAAATCTAGTGCAGACTTGCTGTCAATAAGCCATTATTACTGTAGTACTATCTTGAATGATAAAGGAACAGTTTTAAGGATCTCATGATCTAGGATATGACAGTTCAATCAAAATTTATATTAACCTAGTCTTAGAGGTAAAATCATAAAACATCCTGGTATATTCATAAACACAGTCTTTAAAATAAGATGTTGCAAAGTAAATTATCACAAGAATGGAAAAACAAGCACTATATGTACTCACCATCAAATTGGTGCTAATTGATCAACACTTATGTGCACATATCATATGATATAATAACATTCATTGGGATTCAGGCAGGTAGGGGGTTGGGGGTATGGGTATATTCACACCTAATGGGTGTGGTGTGCACCTCCCGGGGGATGGACATTCTTATAGCTCTGACTTGGGTGTGGCAAAGACAATATATGTAACCTAAACATTTGTACCCCTACAATAATCTGAAATAAAAAATAGGATGGTGCACATAAGTTAAAAAAATAAAATCCCCACTAGTTAATTTTTTACTGCCATGTACTTGCCAAACCTTCGTTATCTTTGCAAATACCTTGCAAAGTGTGGTTTAAATGAGCCTGGAGTTTTAAATTTTTTCCTACATATTTTCTGGGTTTAATTGGCATTCGGTAAAGTCCTTCACTATTTAAGAGTGGTTTGGTTCTGGGATGTATGTTACCTCCTTCCAAATCCAGGGATATAAAACTGTCTTTAAATATATTTAAATAAAATTTAAATGCTTTAAAAATTGCAGCCCAAAGTGTATGTTTTTAAGAGCTGTGTAAGTAATTTAAGAGGCTTACTGTGGCTTTGTCTTCAACAGATGCTTGAGAACAATCTCAAAGGGAACACATCCACCAGTGAAGCCGTGGCTGATGAAATTATGTATGTATTTATAGTACTTATATTGTTCACTAGCTGTTTCTATAACTACCTTTTCACTTTGGGATTTTTTTTACCGTGGTATACGTTGTGATCTTTATCTGTTTGCTTTTCTTTTCTTTGGGTACAATGAGTTATTTAGTATCTTTTTAAAAATCTGTTTAGGGGTGTGCCTTTCAGCAGCCTTTTCTAGTTGCAGTATTTGTTTGATTTCCTCCTTGTAACATCTCTACCTTATAAAGTGAACAAAGAAAACAATTTGGGGTTTAGGTCTAGGAGAGGGAATCTTGTGATATGAATGAGTATGGAATAAACTGGGAGAAGTTTTAAGTGTAGTAGATGGGTTTTACCAGAAATTCTTATTTGGGTTTTTGTTTGTTTATTTGTTTGTTTGTTTATGAGGGGAATGATTTATCATAAGATGAATAATATTAATCATTACTAATAGAAACTATAATTTATTATAAGCTTTTGCTTTGAAAGTAAAGGTACTATTCTCAGGGTTTTACATACATTTACATTCATACTGTTGTATTTAATTCTCATAGATTAAATACTCAGAAGGCAGGGATATTTGTTCCCTTTTTACAGAGGAAGAAACTGAGACACAGAAAGGCTAAAGGTGTTTCCATAATCACCTGGTTAGAGCATGAAAGATCTGAGAAAATGGACTATTTCTTTACAACTGAAAACCCAGAGCAATTAATGACACTCAGAGCAGTGAGCCAGAGATATAAGGATTAGTCTATGTTTTATAAGGGCTGAAAGTGAAAAAGGAAACAATTGTGAAAGTATTAATGTTAAGAGAAGTAATAACAATAATAACCACTACAATATTAGCATTTAGGACCATTTATGGGCCAAGAATTAAACTAGGGACTTGACATAAAGTATATTTATCTTCCTAACCACCCTAAGGAGTGGTAGTATTATTCCCATTCTAAGACCACAAAATTAAAGTCAGGAAAATTAGATACTTCACTCAAAGTCACACAGCTAGTACATTATAGATACAGGAGTCTAACTGTGTTCTAAAATCTACACTTAATCTTCTACCCCCTCGTAAGCTACACTTCTTCTATGCCTGTGATTTTATCTCAGAAAATCATCCAGGTGGAACATCTTTTTTTTTTTTTAAATACTAATATAATGTGACATTTATACAGCACAATGATTGGAAGTTTTATATTTACAGACCTATTCATCTCATTCTTTTCAGTTAAAAAAAAAAAGCTTTCTGAAAATGGTGGAGAAAAGCTGGCCACAGGTATGGAAACCCTCCAGGTAAGCCAAAAATCTCTAAGCAAATGATAATATTCTCATTGGACAAGGACAGGACAGTATAATGTTAGATCATCAAAATTCTGGGACTTCTTATAATACCAAAGAAAATAGGGCAAAAGAAATGTAAAGTTATCATAGGAAAGCAAGATTCAATATGAAGAGTAACATGCAGGCTAAATTATTTGGTGGCAACCTAGAAATATTACCCTTGGAGCTACCAACGGTCAGACTCTGAATCAGGAAGATACAGATCTTTTTTTCTAAAGTTTTCTTAGAGGTCTGAAGGAGTTGTAGTATGAAATGTTTGGATTAAAATTCTTTAGTTGCATTTGTGAACCTTTCATTTTGGGTCAATGAAAAAGAGTATATATATTTTTGTGTATGCATACTGTATTAATCTACTCAGGCTGCCATGACAAAATATTATAGTCTAGATGGCTTAAGCAACAGAAATGTATTTTTCACAATTCTGGAGGCTGGAAGTCCAAGGCCAGGGTGAGTGTGGTCAGGTTCTCAAGAGGGCTTTTTCCTAGCTTGCAGGCAGCCACCTACTTCCTTTTTGCTCACATGGACAGTGAGACAGGGTAGGCTCTATGGTGTCTGTTCTCATAAGGGCACTAATCCCATCAGACCAGGGCCCTGCACTGCTGACCTCATCTAATTCTAATCACCTCTGCAAGGTCCATCTCCAAATACTATCACAGTGTGTGGGGGGGTATGATTTAAATATATGAACTTTGGGTAGACACACACTTCAGTCCGTATACATACATATGCACACATATACACATGTGTTGATAGATAAATATAGACTGATAGATATTAGAATATAGAATATTATAATTGCATATTTTGTTAGCTATAGATGCAAAAATAGCTTCAGTAGAATAAAGTACAAAAATAGAAGTGATGACATCTCCTTTCACTCTTTACTTATATATAGCACATGAACTGTTTTTGAAACAGCTGGCAGAAGTGTTACTTTTTCTTCTTAGTGTAAAACTTAGCATGGTGAGATCAGTCAGTAATTCCTAATCAGCATTACAGACAGGCTGACAACAGAAACACCCAGAATTCAGTCCCCTGTGTGTCTTTAGAGGAGACAAAGCACCATCCCATAGCATTATCTTAAACTCTGACAGCCACTGGCCACTATAGCAGCAATCCTTCCTAAAATTTATTCATGATGTTTTCTTAAAAAAAAGATATTACATAGTAATTTTGTTTCCAGCAAGAGCCTATGAAAATATTGTGGATTTGTGAAAATATATTAATATTATCTCTACGTATGTCTACTCTATCGTTGTTTACATTAGTAAAACTGTTGTGGTGTCGAAAGGTAGGGAATTTTTAATCCATGGATCAGCCATATTTTTATAAATGTTATGGAGTCATTAAAGTGATCATTCATTTAAACACAAGAGAGAACAGAAATAGAAAAAAGTCAGAAGATGGGATTGGGAAAAGGTGGTAAAGTGGTCACAAGCAGCTTACCTTACCTTCACACCAAAGACTCTGCTTAATGTCAGATTAATTTTAAAAAAAAAATAAAGTAATAACTGCACTGGAAAACAAGGACAGCTATCAATGGAGAACAATTTCTGAGGACTTTGTAAGAAGTAGAAATGAAGAGGGATCAGAGTCACAGAGAAGCATAAATGAAGAAAACCAAAACCCAAAACTCTCTCAGGAAGAACTTCACAGCAGTTTCAGGGATGCTCAAAGCTCAGACCTGGAGCAGGGGCAGGAGGGAGCCATCTGGAAATTAAAGAAAAAAATGCAGCTGGACAATAACCCACTGACTCATCCAACCTCAGCCTGTCTATGTTGAGCATGGAGTAATGCCAGCTTGTCTACATGTGGCCAAGCACAAGCTGTGCTCTTGGGTCACTCGGGGCCCCAATAAGGGAGGAGAAGTCACCAAGCCCAAGGCAGGCCTTCCATTCTAACACACAAGCTCTTGTAGTCAGAATCAATCACCGCTCAACCTGGTGAGGCAGATTCTGACAAATAAAAATGACCTGGTAGCCAAGAATCAAAAAAATCAAATACCACTAAAGAGAGGTAACAAATTTGGCACCCAAGGTAATGATGCCTTTATTTCAACATAAGTTGAAATATTTCAACATAAGTTGAGCAAAAATCCTTCTGAGATTTGAATGAAATATGGGAATTTAAACATGTTTTCAAACAAAAAAACTCAGTTGAGTTGAATTGCTGAAAAGGAACATCAATAAAACCAATTAATTAATGAATTAGAATATCAAAAAATATTTTCCCATAGTGTAGCATATTTCCTATAAATTAAATATAAAGTATAAAAGAACTGAGCAGATACATAGAATGCATCCACAAATTCAAACAACCCTTCAGAAGCAGACTATTTTGAAAATCAACATTTATATAGTTAAAGACATGAGAGGCTTGAAATGTGACACTGGAAAAAATGGAATCTAAAAAAGATTATGAAAATATTTTTTAAAAACTAAATGAAGCATTCAGGAATAAAATGTAAACCCTCAGTGGTTGGACCAAATATCAGATAACTACATATGTCAAAAGAGTTAGTAAACTAAAGGTTATAGCCCAAAAGGAGCATGCCATGAAAAGTCTAGGAAGATAAAGAGATAGAAAAATTAAAAAAAAAAAAAAGAGGTTAAAAGACAAGAAAGACAGGGTGCATAAAAGGTTAATGAATATCTAAATCAGGGTTCCAGAAAGAAATTTAAAAGGCAATGGGGACAAAGCAATATTTAAAATATAATAGCTAAGAATTTACTTATAATTGTTGGTATTCACAAATCTTCAAATCCTGGAATCCCAACAAAACCCAAGCATAGTTGAAAGAATAAAAAAGGAAAAGAAAAGAAGACAGTATAAATGTTTATACCTAATTGCATGCCAGTGAAGCTGCAGGACATCAATGCAGAGAAAGTGAAGCAGTCTCACAGATACAGCTAATCCACCTACAAAGGAGCCACGCCCGACTGACAGATGACTACACAACTGCAACAGTGGAAGCTGGAGGACAATTGAATAATATCTTCAATGAGTAAAGAGAAAATGATAGTTAATTTTGATTTCTACATCCATCCAAAATATCTTTCAGTTATGAGAGTGAAAAAAAATGTATTTCAAACAAAAACTGAGAGATATTTACTACCAACAGGACATTAACTTCACCAAAGAAATTATGAAGGAAATATTTCAGATGCAAAGAAAATCATTTCAGATGGAAAGTCTAAGACAGGGATCCCCAACCTATGGTGAGCTGTATAATTATTTCATTACATATCACAATGCAATAATAATATAAATAAAGTGCACAATAAATGTAATGCACTTGAATCATCCCGAAACCATCCCTCCCTGCTCCCCAGTCAGTGGAAAAATTGTCTTCCATGAAAATGGTCCCTGGTGTCAAAAAGGTTAGAGACCACTGGTCTAAGACACAAAAAAGAATTATGAACAAAGATGTTGGAAAATTTGTAGGGAAATCAAAATGCACCTTGACTGTATCCAACAATAAAAATTTAGAAGTAGTAACCCAGGATAGAACTAAAATACTAGACCACAATATCATATAAATTGGAAAGAGGGTCAGTTGGAGACAAAGCTTTCCAAGGTCTTTCTATACCAGTTGGAAATGAAGAAAAGATACTACTCATCAAATGTCGATTTTGTTAAAAATTGTACAAAATCATAGTCTCTAACTTCCAAATATGTAGAAGAAAGGGAAATGAAACAAGAATATTTTTATAATCAACATGGAAAGAAATAAAGGTGAAACTATTATACAATAGAGTGACTACAGTTAAACTGTAACATATTTTATATTTCAAAATGGCTAGAAGAGGTTTGAAATTGTTCTCACCATAAATAAATGATAAATGTTTTAGGTGATGGATTTGCTAATTTCACTGATATGATTATTATACAGTGTATACATGCATTGAAACATCATATTTTACACCTTAAGTATGTACATCCATTATGTGTCAGCTAAAAATAAAACTTAAGAAAAACGTGAGAAAAAGGAACAGGAGAAGAAAAATATTCAATCAGAAGAGAATGCAAGAAAGAAAGAGCCAAAAATAACGGGGGAAATCAGGGCAATTAGGAGATATTTAATACAATTGTAGAAATAAATCAGTAGTAAAATAAAATGAAATGAAATAAATGTTCTAGGTAAAAGATTTGCTGATAAAATTTAAAAATAACTAGTGGATATTTCAAAATATACATTGCTGGATTTGACTTGCTAATATTTATTTATATTACAATTTATTTAGGGTTTTTCAAATCTATGTTCATAAGTGATATTACTAGAATGTAATTTTCTTTTTTAATACTCTGGCTACATGATTTTGCCAACAAAATTATATTCGTAAAATGGAATGAGGATATGCTCCTTCCTTTTTTTCTACTCTAGGAAGTTTGTACACTATTAGAATAATATCGTTCTTAAATGTTTGCTAAAAAAATGCCTCAAATGTCCTATGGGCCTGAAATGCTTTTATTTATTTTTTTGTTGGGGGTAGTAATTTTATAAGTATGGATTGAACCACTTTAATCTATTAGGTTCTCTATTTCTTTTTCAGTATGCTTTGGTAAATTACATTTTCTTAGCAATAACTATTTGTGTCTATTTTCAAATTTTTGCCATATGGGTTTTTTTTTAATTTTCTCTTGTAACATTTAAAACTTCTACTCTAGCTATAATTAATCCTCCTTTACATTCTAATATTCTTTATCTGTACTGTCTTTTGATCTTTGATTCGTCACGCCAGAGATTTATCTACTTTATTAGTCTTTGCAAGGATCAGCTTTCTTCTTGTTGATCCTTCTGTTATATCTTTATTTTCAGTGTAATTAATTTTAGCTTGTATCTTTCTAATTCCCTCTCCTCAACTTTTATTGGCTTTACTTTAATCTTTTACTAAGGGGAACAAAAAACTTAGTAAGGATAGGAAAACATAATCTAGTTGAAGCTCTGCCAT